ACCGAACAAGTACTTCAGTAATGTTTTTGGCCATTGAGTTGTTCAAGGAATTTGTGGTAGCTTTTAGCATTTCTCATTGTAGCAATTCACAACTGCACGGCAGATGGGAGGCCACCCAGCAATGGCATTCTGATGTAGAATTTTTTTGGTGAATGATACCATTCCATTCTTGCTGCTTTTTCTTCTTCAATATATATAAAACTGCTCTTCTTGGTTATATACCTTGCTACTCTTTTCCTCTCTGTTCATTTTTATTTGCTACGTGGCATTGGAACATTGAGTTGTTTTTGCCTTGATCTTTCTACATTGCCTCAACATATCTCTTTTTAAGTCAGTGAATGGCTAAAAACTCCAGCAGCCATTGAAAGTTCTATTTTTTAAGTGGATGCAATAGCCAATACGTTTGATCCTATTGATATTTTGGTATGAACTGAATCTTCTAACAAGAAATATTTACGATTTTTCTGGTGTTAATACAAACATAATTATACATTAAATGTTTCTTTTGATTCACGTTAGCAGTCTAATTTCTTAGAAGCTCAGTTCTCAGATATATAGTTCTTGTGCTGAGAAGCCCGTTTGCTGAGTTCTTTGTAAACTGTTGCTTCTACTGTGCAGGAAGTGAGATATCTTTTTTCAAAAATGGTATATGCCAAGGTGTTGCTTTCAAGGATCTTTATGGTGATCGTTACCATCCTGCTGCTTCAATGTATACTCTTCCGAACCAACCGAATTGTGTTGTCAAGTTCAATTTCGGTCCTGATTTTGAACGGTTCCCAGATGACTTTGGTGGGCGTCCTGTCCCAAGACCAATGATTGAAGTTCCTTATCAAGTTGTTGATGGCAGAGTTGAGAATGGTGTGTCCATTGAGAAGAAACTGTAGCTATAGCATGTCTTTCAATTATATAGGAATTAGGATTTTATTTGATTTTGATTTTATTGTAATTTTGTTAACTTTTTATGACATGACTGACATATAAACAGTCAATTAGGTGAGAAATCAACTTCTGTTAGAAGTTTGACTCATAATATCCGTCTGGCTTTGTACCCTCTGAGGGTTTATTGACGAAGAAATTAGCTCTAGATCAAACAAAGTGGAAAAAAGTTGTCACTTAGTTGCTTCAAAAGAGTAGAGAAGAAGGATATTCTGCTTTGGGCATCTTTTTGGAATTATGTTAATATTGATTGACTACATAGTTTTCATAAAGATGTTGCATTAGCAAACCTATTCTCTTGTAACCTTTATGGATCTAAAACTTTGTTGACTTTGGCACTTGTATTTCTTGGAATTTTATTTTTTCATTGTGCAATGATCTACTGGTTCTAATTTAGTCATTGGCCTATTTTCATTTTTCTTGTTCCTGTGACTATAATTTTGACAGAGAAAGTCGGATTTTTGTTATTGACTTATTGTTCTAACTAGAATTTTGTTCTCTTTTTTTTTTTTTTCCCCCATCGAAACATATGACATCTTATTCCTTCTCTTCCTCTTCCTTCCCCGTCCGCCTGTTTTAACTTAATTGAGTTTACCTTTGTTCTTTGTTTAGAGAAGAGGGTAGGTGGATTTTATATAATACAGACCTACTCTCTGATTACAGGTAGTCCGTGGAATATCACCAGAATGAACCCCATGTACAAAGTGGTAAAAGGGAATGATAATGCTGAAATGGGTGGTCAAGCTTGAGGAAAACACTCAGGTTGGTTATGTTCCACCTATACAAAGCTACTTGTCTCTGTCTACCATCTATTTTGTCTTATAATAGATTTTTAGCATGTGGAGTGACTGAATCTTTCTCTGAATGCAAGGGCAATCACGTATTGAATTGAAGGTTCCATAAATTAATAATCTTGCTTAAATAATAAAAAATTTCGGTCTCGACTTGGGCCTGTGTACTTAATTAATAACCCCGTTAAATGTAGGGTTGTGCAAAATGTCCGAACCGAACTCGAATCGAGCGGTTTTTCTTAAATGAAATACTCGAACGGGTATCCGAATCGAGAACCGAATGGTTTGGTTCGGTTCTCGGTTCTAGACCCAGAACCGAAGAATCGAATAAGAACCGATTTTTTTTTTTATATTGGATAAATCAATTTCTT